AAATTTTGATTTTTTTTTCGCTAAAAATTTCAAAAATATTATTTTTTCAAATAGACCCAATAAATTTGGAAAATTCGATGAGATAAAATATTTATAATAATTTTGAACGTATTTATAAATGACTAATTCTATGCACAAAAACTAAGGCAGCGTAAAGGGTGCTAATATGGGCAACAAAATCACGCGACGTGCAACGATGAAAATTTGCGCGCGAAGTAGTAATWCGAGCAACGTTTGCTCTGCAACYKGCAACGCAYGTTGCATAAGAAGTTGCACGATTTCGTTGCCCGTATTACTTGGATCTTGCAGTAAAATATATCTTGTGAACAATCACCATACTGTTTGAACTACGGAAAGTCTTGAGAAGATAAATTTTGACAAGATAGAAGTGTAAGATGGACGCGCTTATGATATTGACGGAGAGCCTGAGAGAGAAACACCATGCGTAGTTTCTGCACTTTTTTCAAGCTTTGTAAAGGCACAGACACACGGTGCACCATTGCGCGCAACATTGCAGGCAATGTTGCTGAAGTAGGATAGTTTTCTTACTTCAGCAACGTTGCGTGCAACAAATTGCGTCGTGTGTCACGGCTCGCAACATCAATTGCATGTAACATTGCGCACAGTGTTGCACCGTGTGTACGTAGCTTAATTGGATAGTGTGSAATTTCGTGTTTGTGATTAGTTCAGAGTAAAAACCTATGTGAAGACGATTTACCGTAGTTTCTCACTCGGACGTCTGCTCTGATATCAAATRTAAGTTAATATCTATGATTGTAAGTAATAGTCTATAGGGTAAATGAAATAATACACAAAAATCTTAATTATTCATTGGTGGAATGGGATGATTGAGAACTGGTGACCTTTTACTTTTACTTCAACTCCCCATTATTCGCAAAGCATCCAAATTTTGAGACGAAATCTACGACTCCTTCCCTACTGACTTCTTGGGCTAGAGATTATTGTTTTCCCATTTCAGACCACTTGTCATTTTCTTGTGAACAAGATTCTTTCCTTGARTTGCAAATTTTTATGTATCTTTTCATGTKCAACCGTTAAACAAAGAAACGATATTCTAGGGAATAACACGCGTGGTCTGAAATGAAAACCAATACGCCCAACCAAGAAAATACCAAACCATTTTATTAAGCTACTTCTGAAATTTAACYTCCCTAAAATGGATGGCAAAAATTGAAGATCATCCCATTTTCTCACCCATTCCTCCAATTTTGGTGCCAATTCGTATTATACTTGACGAAGTGAATGGTAAATCCTATCACTTTCTTTGTTAAATATTTCGTGACATGAGTCTTTGGACTTAACAYATTTTAAAATATCTGAAATCCACAGAATTTGAGAAATGAAAAATAAATGTGAACTWAATTTTTGGATTACGTTATCGTCCACATTCTAACTTTTTTGTAATTGCAGTTTTTTCTCGTAGGAGGCGTAGTTGAGAGGATTTGGGGTTTTAGCCTTCGGACACTTCTAGAATTTACACTTTGACCAACTATTACGACAGTATTTTATTGGCTCCGTGAAATAAATTTACATTGGAGTTTATGACCTTAAATATGATAATAAGTGATAGCAACCACAGCCCGCCTTAATATTAATAATTGTCTTTTTTCCCTTTTTTCAATGCACCTAAACAAATTTTGCGTCAATATTTTGAATGGACTTCTTTAGATTTATCACTAAGAAATTTTTCGTTAGCTTGTAACGAGACTTTTTTAAGACCTATGAGCCGTCCAAATCTCACTTTCAAAGTCGCTTGGTCGTCTATGCTTTGTGGTGGTGGTTTGCGTTCCCTAACGTCTTGGGTCTCGGATTCTATTCGTGGGGCCAGTTACATTGAACCTGAACTTATGAAACACTTTAGTTTATAACTCAATTAGGGTTTCTGCATGGCGCCACTGGTCGACGCCGTGAGTATACCCATAGCACTATTTTATGCAACCGGCCCCTAGATWGATTATCCTTACTGCTGACTGCCGCACTAGCAGTAGTCCAGACGATGATCCATCCTTTGACCGCTCTGCTTTATTCTGCAACAAGCAGGCAGCCCAAAGGAAAGCAAGGCACCAGCGAGTGCTGTTTTTTTGCGGAGGGAAGCGAGAAAATCGAAGACTCTCGAAGGACAGGAGAAAACCGGCAAAATATCTTGATAATGAACCCGGGAATTTTTACTTTCATAACTTAATTCCTAAWTAAATGATTATTCTTCAAGTTGACCTTTTAATTAATTAATTGAATTGATAGGCCATTAGCGCACTTTGAATAAAAATCTTAATCCATAAACCATTTTATATTTGACGCAAATAAGATATTTTACATTTCTTTGTCGCAAAAGTAGTAAAATGAAATAAAAAAGAGAATGAACATGAGTTTGGCTCCGCCGCGCTAAAAGGAAATGTCGATCCTCCATCCCGAGTCCAATCCATCCTGCTCACATCCCACAATCCTTCACCGGTCGCGTTTCCTCTGTGTTCGCCACGTCCATGGTTCATAAAGSGGTTCTGTCACTAAAAACATAATTTTCTCCTAAAACAACCAATCAAGACTAACCACAGCGACACTGAAAGGAGGACGACATCTTARAAACTCTTCTCGAAAGTTTTTAGCCAAAAATTGTAATTTAAAGAATCCAAAGTGAAGCAAGATGGCGGCTGAGAATGAAATTGGTGAATGGTTTCAAGGGATCCCAATTGTTTCTCGTTACTGGTTTTGTTTATCTATTATTTTCCCTCTTCTTGGACGAATTGGATTGTTGAATCCATATTACATGGTGTTAGACTTCGGACTGGTCGTTTATCGGTTCCAGGTGAGTTGAAAAATACGAGTTTCGGAAATATGAAATAGTGTGCGTACTTTTCTCTTTTATGCAATTTCTTTTTGTTTAATATTAGAAACAACGGGATTCAAAGCCAGACTCAAATTTCTGACACTATGAAGAATTTATTTATTGTATACAGAAGAAATATTCTGTTCTAGTACAAAATCAAACAGATGGTCAAACAACTTGGAAAAAAATTATATTCAACAGCTGCAAAGGAAGTTTGAATACCCTAACTCTGACGTCATATAGTGCATTATCCAAAGATAAACACCAGTGCTGATGCAACAGACAGTCCTCTTAGCACTATGACATCATTTACTTTTAATATTAGTAATATATCCTCACTGAAGCCATTATCACGTCGCAGTATGATTAAGTTATGGGGCRAGATCCGCGACGATGATGAGGTCCAAACGACGTTATGCAATGAGTCATGTGTGTTGACTTAATTTATACTGCTTGGCAATAATTTATTCAGTGAGAATAGTGAATACCTTTCAAATCCTTGCATTATGCATCCAAATTTAAGGAGGCTCAGGGTAGTTTTGGTCTGGCACACCTAGCCGCATTGAAACGGCTACAACTTCGTCTTAAATAACTCGATCTGCAAGCGCTTTTCACACAATGTCAGGAAAGGATTAAAGGTTTCAAATATGATAAATTAGTTTAAAGCGGCCTTTTCATTATGACATAATGATGACATCATAAAAATCGTTTACCGCTTATTTTCTCGAAAACTAGACCTAAACTTTCAAAGCGACTTGCACCAGTCGATAGTATTCATCAAGGCACCCAACATATTGCAATATGAAAAAAATGTATGAGAGCGTTTTCCAAATATTACGCGGTGAATATTTTCATGGACTTTTACTATTATTTCCAGCGAGTCAACTTTATACCCTCACAATCGGGACTTTAATTTAGTGGATTCAATATTTTTAGTAGCTAGAATATAGGTACGGATATAGACACTGTCCTTATTGAGTATGAATCAAATTGTGACTTTCTTTCTAACGTTATGGATTTTTAGATATGAATCTAAATGATAAGTACGCTCGATACTAACAGCGCACGACAAGGAATAACACGGAAGTCAAGCGTGAATAATCAACAAGCAGCCGTGAGCAAAAGTTGTATCGAGCGTACTTATTTTTATTTGACGATTTTTTTCTAAATGAAGTCACTAAAAGATGTATCTTTTACAAATATTTTCCTTTAATTTCATATGCATTGAAGGGTTTTAAGGCAGTCAAATAAAAATAAGTACGCTCGATACTAACAGTGCACGACAAGGAATAACACGGAAGTCAAGCGTGAATAATCAACAAGCAGCCGTGAGCGAAAGTAGTATCGAGCGTACTTATTTTTATTTGACTGCCTTAAAACCCTTCAATGCATATGAAATTAAAGGAAAATATTTGTAAAAGATACATCTTTTAGTGACTTCATTTAGAAAAAAATTGTTCGACGATTTTTTGAATGCCGCTTTCAACGATATTTTCTATCGCTTTTGACAACAAATGGAGTCATTTAGCTTCATATCTAAAAATCCATAACGTTAGAAAGAAAGTCACAATTTGATTCATACTCAATAAGGACAGTGTCTATATCCGTACCTATATTCTAGCTACTAAAAATATTGAATCCACTAAATTAAAGTCCCGATTTTGAGGGTATAAAGTTGACTCGCTGGAAATAATAGTAAAAGTCCATGAAAATATTCACTGCGTAATATTTGGAAAATGCTCTCATACATTTTTTTCATATTGCAATATGTTGGGTGCCTTGATGAATACTATCGACTGGTGCAAGTCGCTTTGAAAGTTTAGGTCTAGTTTTCGAGAAAATAAGCGGTAAACGATTTCTATGATGTCGTCATTACGTCATAATGAAAAGGCCGCTTTAAACTAATTTATCATATTTGAAACCTTTAATCCTTTCCTGACATTGTGTGAAAAGCGCTTGCAGATCGAGTTATTTAAGACGAAGTTGTAGCCGTTTCAATGCGGCTAGGTGTGCCAGACCAAAACTACCCTGAGCCTCCTTAAGTAATAATTTCATGGAAAATTAAAACAAATAATAAAATAGATAAAAAGTTATGGGAATTAACAGTAGTTCTTCTTCCACTGGATTCCAASTGGGATTTAGAAGTTCATTTTTATGGAGGAAAGAAAACCAGAGAACCCAGAGAAAACCATCGAAGCAGAGGAGAGAACCAACAAGCAACTCTCCTCAGCACCGTGCCGAACTGACTTGAACCTGGGTCGTATTGGTGGGAGGCAAGYAGTCTTACCACTACACTACCCATGCTTCCCACAAAAGGCATCTCACTTAAATTCAGACTTCTAATTACATGGGCCACAGGAAGGGGGATAGGGGCCATATATTCTATTTATATTTTGTATTGCACCTATCTTTATATGTGTTTATTTTTTTCAGATCTGGAGACTGATTACAGCATTTGTATACTATCCAATAACTCCACAAACAGGGTTCCACTACCTCATTAACCTATACTTTTTATATTCTTATTCAACTAGACTTGAGTCAGGTATTTAGAGACTGCTAAATTACAGTGCACACCAAATATCTGTGAAAAAGTWAATCAACAAAATTGTACAAATTAGTGCAACGTTTTGTAGTCTCTTATAGTTTCTTAAAATTTCTTAAAGTTTCTTACAGTTTCACAGATATACGGTATGCGCTCTATAAGTAGATTTTCAAACATTTGTTCCATTTTAGTAGACAAGACATGTATCAGTGATTACACATAAATAGAGTAGTTACTTAAATATAGATATAGAAAAAATAGTTAGATGGAGGGATGGGTGGAGAGAGAGGGGAAAGAGGGTTGGATGGATAGATGAATATAAGTACATAAAAGATAAAGAAATTATTCAGCTTGTATCCAGTCAATGACTGACTAGATAGACAGTTGAAAAATAAATGAAGTATTGATAATAAATATTGATTGTCCAATTGATTGATTTTAGGTCTATTCGATGGACGACCAGCTGATTTCCTATTTATGTTGCTGTTCAATGCAGTTATTTTAATTGTATCCTTTTGCATATTGAAGATATACCAGTATTTTCCCTTTTCATGGATCTGTTATCATAAAGCATAAGTTTTGTTTTTTTTTTCTTTGAATCTCATCTCTTTTAAAATCATTACAGTCATTACCTTGGAGCTTCAARTTTTATCAAACCCTGAAACAACATYTGGGATGATCAAAATCAGGTCATGTCTAACTCACATTGAATTGGGAGTTAGCATGTTAGGTTTTGTTGAAAGAGGAAAACTAGAAAACCCATCTGTAAAACTTCAAAAACGAGGGAGACCTAACAAACTCTATTAACATATGATGTTGAAATCAGGAATCGAACTTGAGACCTGATATTAAGGTGTGAAGCGAGTATGCTACCACTTACCCACCATGGATTCCCTTGATAGGCCTCTTCTTAGGTTTACTGTGTCTCATATCTCCAGACCTTCTTGGTAAAATAAATAAATGAAACTCTTAGTCAATTAAATAGTTTTATCAAATGCAGAAAAGTATAATTCCTTGACATTATGATCAGATAATTGGTTTTGTGGCAACAATAAGGGTAGGT